TTCTTCGTGAGGAAAACAATTCTAACTCTTAGACTCTGATAGAACTTTCCAATACAGATGAAATCAGCTACCTAAATTATGACTTGTAAGTCACATACCAATTGCTGTCTTTTGAATGCTGTGTCCTCTCCAAAATTCATATTGAAACAGAATCCCCAGTGCAATGGTATGAAGAATATGTGATTGGTGCCTTATAAAAGAGCTGAGGGAACTAGGTAGGCCTTTTTTAGCCCTTCTACCTTCTGCCATTGAGGGACACAACAGTCACCGCCTCTGGAGGATGCAGCATTCAAGGTGCCATCTTGGAAGCAGAGCCTGGGCCCTCATCAGGCACAGAAACTGCTGGCACTTTGATCTTGGACTTTGCAGCCTCCATATTTGTGAGCAATAAATTTATGCTGTTTATAAATTACCCAGTCTAAAGTATTTTATTATAGCAGCAGAAACAGACTAAAACACTGACTGACCTGTGGATTCTGTGGCATGACCTACCACTCCTATGTCCTAGTACTCTGAGGCTCTAAACATTACAGTTATGTGGTGCGACTATGCCTTGAAGTCCAGACCCAATAAAACAAATCCAAAGAGAGATGAGGGTTTCCTGCTTGAGTTTTCTGATTAAGGACCCACTTTTCTGGATGATGGAACATGGAAGTGATTGATATTGAAAATGATTTCCTACTTCCAGGCAGGCCCCATCTCCTTCCCACAGAAGGATGGTCTTCCTTTGATCTCAACAAGACAAGCATATCAGAAAACATCTTAATAATTCATTTGAGTCATGCATACATAATGTAATGGGTGTCAGCGGAGGAAGACAGTTTCCTTACAAGAACCTAAGGGGTTGTTCCATCCCCAGCTCCAAGCACAGCACGTGGCACAAAGCAGGTGCTAAGATTCTTGTTAAAAGGCTATTAAAAGGAAATCAACTTGTCCTGGTCATGGTTGCTTAGCATCCTTCTAAAAAGCTCTTACTAAATTGTTGTATACTATTAAGATGTTTACTGAGATAAGCACAAAATTGATATGTGAGCTTCCTTCAAGGCAAAAGAGAAATCAGGTGGATTATACAGTTTTCAAAAACTGGCAAAAAGGAAGAAAGATTTTTTTCTTGAGCCCATGTGCCTCCAAGTTAATTCTAGGCATTTTATCCTTAAATATTTCATTGTATTCCTTGTGTTAATCATCTCGTATTTCTGCACTGATCATTCATCTGTTCCTACCTGTCTACCCATCCTGTCTTGTGCATGGCTAATATCTTTGTTTTTAATCATCCTATTTTACTTGGTTTTTATCATCCACTCTCTCAACTCCTCTTGGGGCCAGCATGGAGTGGAGGAAAGAGCCATAGATTTGGTTGGGGCGGAGTTCAAATGGTGAGTCATACCTGTACTCCACATGGCCGGGACATATGCCTCACCATCCTGAGCTCATTCTCCTCATTTGTTAACTAGGGCTGGCATCTCTTAGCTCACAATATCGTCATGAGGAATGGAACAAAATATATGCAAACTGTGTTGCCTGCTACACAATAGACTCTCAATAAATTTAACTTCTTTCATCTTTTCTTCTCTCCCTTGTGAAAGTAATCAAGATATAAATTATACATAAATAAATTACATGTTATACTGGAAATCCTCAGAAATGATTAATCTAACCAACAATAATTTTCATATTAATAATAGGTTACTCTGGCAGCACCATCCTAACTCTGACAATCAATCTACATACTCCAGCTTTGTCATTCGATAATGTACAGTGCTCAAAGTTTACGCTGGAAAGAGGTGAATGCGCATGATTTCCCATTTTCAGATATTTTTTAAATGCTCCTTTTTCACATCAGGGTATTCTGCTACAAATCATCACTCATGGTACAAAGTGTGAGTAATACGTTTACCAAGAAATGAAAGACTGAAACATGATAGGAGAGGCTGAAAAGCTTCAAGCAGTATTTGAGACTGAAAGTAAGGTTTGGAAACATCCAGAATGTGCTGGAAATTCTGATTTCTGCTCCTCAGTGCCCCAAAGAATAAATGGGACCTCACTGGAGAGTATGGCTTGTCATCACCACTACCTGGAGGAGCTAACTGAAGCTTTTCTGGTTTGAAAGACCAGAAATATCTAGAAGGTTTTGAGCCTAACTTCAGCCAAAGTACTTCCTAAGTTTTCTCACAGATGACCTTCAAAGTTGAGTTTGGAAAACGATTGCTTCAAAGAAGGCTTCAAGCTCTCAGATTCTGTGAGTTTATCATTCTGCTTTTCTCTAACATGTAAAAAGACGCAAACAGAGTGGTTGTCCATGTGGGCTCTGGAGCCATACTTCCTGGATTGGAATTTCTGCTCTTCCACTTGCTGTTTTGCCCAGAAGAGGTGACTTAACTTGCATGTGCCTCAGTTTTCTCAGCTGGAACAAGAGGATCAGAATAAGGACAAAATTAGGTGATGCTTGCAAGGTCTGGGGCACTGTTGCTGGCAGGCAGTGGGTGCTCCGTCGGTCATTTCTTTGTCCACGATTAAGTGGAGCTCATGACATGATTCAACCTGGCCTACATCTAGTGGCAGGTCACCAAAGCGCCTTGTATATAGCCGGTTCTTATACTTCTTTATCGAATTGAGGTTTTTATTTGTAGTGTGTGGTGAGAGCTGGTTAAACTTAGTTAAACCCCCAAATTTCACATCCCAATCTGTCCCCACAACATCTGCACTTTGGACCCACCTCTCCTGTCTCCGCCCTCCGACGTAACCATGCGTGAGTTCTCCTTGCATCAAGCTGGGTGCAAGCACCTGCTGTGCGTGGGATGGGGCTCATGAACAAACTGGGATCATCACAGGGAAATAAAGCAATGCTACTTCATTTGCACATCCAAGCGCAACATGTGCACTTTGACTCTGACTCTGACAGCCACCAATGATTGAGAGGACAGGGAAAAGGAAAAGAGGAACTGACGTTTTTGTTGCCTACTTAGTGCTAAACACCATAACAGGAGATTTTTGCATGGCCATTAGTTCTTAAGCCAACACTTCCAGCCACTTATTTAGTTTAGTTTTCTTTTTTTTTTTTTTTGAGACAGAGTCTTGCTTTTGTTGCCCGGGCTAGAGTGAGTGCCGTGGCGTCAACCTGGCTCACAGCAACCTCAAACTCCTGGGCTCAAGCGATCCTTCTGCCTCAGCCTCCCGAGTAGCTGGGACTACAGGCATGCGCCACCATGCCCGGCTAATTTTTTCTATACATTTTTAGTTGTCTGATTAATTTCTTTCTATTTTTAGTAGAGACGGGGTCTCGCTCTTGCTCAGGCTGGTTTCGAACTCCTGAGCTCAAACAATCCGCCCGCCTCGGCCTCCCAGAGTGCTAGGATTACAGGCGTGAGCCACCGCGCCGGCCAGCCACTTATTTAGCTTTTACAGAGGAGGAACATACATCAGATGGGTTTGTTGACTTTCCCAAGCGAGCGGGAGAACTGAGTTGGATACCTGGCCATTCCAAGAGTCATAGTTCTTAAGCCTAAAGGCAAAGCAGTCCCTACCCCTAACAGCTACCAATGATCAGTGCCTACTGCATCCTAGGAACTGGCACTGTAACATGCCATGAACCAAACCAGATTACACAAACCTTCCAGCCCTTCCAGGTCCAGGAGCCGAGAGTCCTACTGCCTGCTCCACCCCCTCCGCCAGTGCAAACTGGCCTGAAGCCACGAGGGGGAGCCCTTGCCCAAGGAGCAAAGGGAATCGGACAGCCAGATCATCTGGGGCTGGGGAGGGCTTACTCCATCCTATTACTCACAAATGTATACACACGAGTAAGAACCAGCGTGCTGAAGGAAACCATGGATGACCTCTGTCCTGTGCCCCGTTTAGCTGTAGGAATGGGCCCCCATTCTGACTGTGAACACAGTCTACACAGCAGTGTTGATCCAACTGAGAATGACGAAGCCCGTGGGGTGGGGTGTGGTGACCATTTATTTAATTGGCATATCATGGCCCAGAACAGCATAGAAAATACCAGCATGATCACGCCCAATAAAGAGGGATTGTTGCTTTGAGAACTTTTTATTTTAGCACGAGTGTGTGCCGAGTCATGATGTAAAAGGTACATCTTACCTCAAGTCACTAATAAAGTTTAGATTACACTGACTGAAAAGCTTTTATAAAATCCATGCTCCCAGGCCCTAGACCAGAGTATTGATCCAACGCTGTGTTTGGCCCCTGAAGACTGTATTTCTGGTAGATTCCCAGGCAGGTTTGGGAATCACCTGTTGGAGGCAGTGGGCGCTCAGGTGGGGTTTCCTCACTGCCCTCCACCTCCTTGCCCCTGGCCAGGACAGGAGCAGCTTTTTACTTGAAGAACGTGGCCCTCACAGAGCAAGAAAAGTCACCCGGTCTGCATGTGAAGCAGGGCACAGCCACTAGCCCCGAAAGCCCCCAAACTGGGAACCAAGGTTGGGATTTCTAGTGCCAGCTCTAGAAATCCCAACCTCTCCGAGCCTCAGTTTCCTCGCCTTTTAAAATGGGAAGAACAGCAGTTCCCGGAGCTGCTGTGGGAGTTGTAGACAACGATGTATCCAAGTGCCTCGGCAGTACCTGGCCAAAAACAGACGCTCCTTTGCGTTAGCTTCCTTTCAGGCCTCCACTAAATGCCCCTGTGAGCTTAGGCTCCTTTAGGCTTTGGCTTCCTGACTGAGAGAGTGTTCGTGAAGTTAAGTAGCTGTCTTCAGAGGTGGAGTTGGCGGGGGCCGTTACCAATGGAATTACATTGTCCAACTGCTCAGCTTCTGCCCACTCCTTGACAACTGCCCCAGGGCAGGCACAAAGTGAAATCCCCTGGAGGATGGGGGAAGAGGGGGAAGAGGGCTCCCCCGCCCCCCTGCAGGTGCCGGTCCTGGCCAAGCCTGCAGGATGCAGGCAGCCTCTGCCCAGCCCCAGGTGAGGGAGGAGCCACAACCCAGGTGGGGCGGGTTGGGAGCCTGGCAGCAGGTGTGTCCCGGGCAGCCGGGGGAAGTGATTGCTCCCTGGCCTGCAGAGGCAGAAGAAAGCAGACGGTTGGCCCCAGCATCCAGCTCTGGGAAGCTGGGTTTGTCTCCCAGACTCTACCTTGGAAGAAAACAATGGAAGAGGTAAGGCGCGTCGGTTTGGCTGTGGACTTCCTGAGTCCTTTCTTGCCAGGTCGATTGCCTCCCCCTGGAGAGCCGTGGGGAAAGGCCACCTGTGCGTCCTCCCTCCTGGACAGGAATAAGTGTGTCGGGTGTCAGTGTGGCTCGGCTCACACTGGCCTTGCTCAGGGCAGGTGGGAGTGAAGAGGGGCGTGCTGGGTCCTGTGCCACCTGGTACATGAGGGAAAGAGGCGCCGAGGCACGATGGCACGAGGGGTCTCAGCTCTGACCAGCGAGCTGGACTTCTGACCTGTTCCCGGATCCATAGTCTAAGTGACTGTCAGCTCTCTCTGTGTTTGCTTGCCCTTGCGGACTGCGTCCGGCCTCCGCGGTGATCAGCGGTCAGAGGGCAGGGCTGGGCACCAGGAGGACGGCTGTGCGATGCTGTTTTGTGGTTTTAGATGGGCTCCGCTCCTTATTAACTGTATGCCCTGGGGCAATGTATTCCCCTCCACAGCCCCAGGACCCTCACTTAGAGAATTACTACGGAAATAACTAGTTTGGGAGATTATTAGAGGTGCCTGTAAAAATAGAGATGACCTTGGGGAAGTGCCCTGCACCCAGCCAGGTGGCATTTCCTGCCCTTTGGATGGCTGGGTGCTTGTTGGAGACTTCTCGCCTGACTGACCACACCTTCCTTTTTCCTCCTTCAATTCCCCGTTCTTCTCTAGTCCCCTCTTCAATAGGTCAGTTGTGTGTGTGTGTGTGTGTGGACTCATTTCAGCTGTTGCTGGTTAGGAAAAGCTCCCCTTTGGCGTGGGGCATGTGTCTCTCTGTGGCAGATCACTCGAGTCCAAATAGCTGAGTTTTGGAAAAGGGTGGATTAGGGGCACCCAGTACTGCTTAATCTCCCTCCTCTGAATTCTCCCCACTGCCCCCTCCACCTACTGTTGAGCAACTTTGAGAAACTCCTCCTCCTTGGTGGAAAAGTGCCGGTTTGAATAGATTGAGTATATATGTAAGAAAAGGAGGCTGAAGTATTTTGCTGTCTCTGTAGGACGGGATCTGCACTGGCGTTCGTTACTTCAGTTTATCTACGTGACAGCACAGTGAGGTCAATGCCATTGCCCCGTTTTTTTCATAGGTGAGGAAATTTATGGTCAGCACGTTATCACTTGCTCAATACCACGCAGCTGGTTCGTAGCAGAGCTGGGGCGTGAGCTTAGGTTTGTCAATAACTACTGAGCGCCAAGGATAAGCTGGGCATCACTCGCAAGGATTACAACAGGACAACAGGTAGAATGTTAGGCAAATTAGAGAAAAATGTACAAAAGGGCAAGTTTGTTACCTAATAACATTTTTATGGGGTAAGCTAATATGATTATACCTCTGCTCAGAGAGAGGGGGAAAAAAGATCAAAAGAGAAATATGGGTGTTTTCTCATCTTAAAAGGAGGATTTCATTTTTTGAAAGAATCAACAAAATATGCATTTACTCAGTACATATTTACTGAGCACCTGCTTTGTGTGGTCAGGTCCTGTTTTGGATACTGCAGATGCAGCACTGAACCAAACAGTCAAAAACACCTGCCTTCATAAAATTAATATTCTAGTGAAAGAAGACAATCAAATATGTATATTCAGGTCAAATGGCAGCAAGTGCAATGTAGATACATAAAGAAGAGAAGGGTTTAAGGATGGAGGGGCAGCAAGAGAGGCTGCTATTTTAAACGGGATAATTTCAAGAAAGAGTCAGTGTGAGGTGGCATTTGAGCAGAAACTCGAAGGAGGTAAGGGATTGATCATGAGAATATCTCAGGGAAGAACATTCTACAGAAAGATAATGGCAGATGCAAAGGCCCTGAGGCAGAAGCTTGTCCGGTGTGTTCAAGGAGTGGCTGGAGCAGAGGAAGTGAAGGAGAGAGTGGTCAGAGTGGTGGGGTCAGAGTACGCAGGGGCCTGGAGGCCACTGCGGAAGCTTGAGATTTTCCTGAGTGAGATGGAGGGCTACCTGCGTGTCATGGATGGTACAATGACACGATCCAACTTACATTTTGAAAGGACCCTCTGGCGGCTGTTTTGAAAACAGCTGATAGGGACAGCAAGGACAGAAGCTGGTTGACCAGGTAGGAGACTATTGCAGTAACCCAGGCAAGAGGGGCTGATGGCTGAGAGCAGTCTCAGCAGTGAAGGTGGCTAGAAGTGGTTAGATTCTGAATATATACTACAGGCAGAGTCAACAGGATTTACTGATGGACTGGGCAAAATAACATTAAAGAAGATGAGGAATTGCTAATGACTCCAAGGTGTGAAGCTGGAATACCTGGAAGAATGGAGTCCACATTTACTGAGATGACTTAATACAGAGCAGATTTGGAAGGAGATCAGAAGTCAGTTTCAGACACAACATGCTTGAGGGGCTGAGTAAGCAGTTAGATATTCAAGTTTCGTGTTCAAGGGAGAGCCTCAGGCAGGATATATAACCTAATGTATCTACACTATCTAGAGTAGTGCGGGGGGCATAGTAGGTGTTTAGCACACGTCACTGTGATGGTTTTAAAACTTGACCTCACATTCCCTGGTGTTCTTCCAGTCAAGAAACACAGTCTTGGCAAGAGAAAATTGTAGCATTTTTGAGCTGAGCTAGCTGGTCAGTCAGGAAGCTTAAAAAATGGTGCTTGAATTGTTGATGCATGAGCATTGGGGCTGTATTGAACTATATTTAAGTTTTCCTTCACCTATTATTAGTCAAGTGATTTGAGCAAATCATGAAATTATAAAATATAGGAGGTAGGAGATTTCTCAAATACCAACCAGTCTAACAACTCCCATGTTACCAAGAAATGTGAGGTCCTGAGGCAGAAAATGTCAACACACTTCATAACCGTGTATCCAGCGTGCCTCACTTACGGGGGACGCACCATCCATGTTCCTATTTACGTGGAGGGTAAACTCTGGGTTGGAAGGTCCGCTCAGTAGACCCTACTATCAGGCCCTGTCTTAGATGCCACCTAGTTGTTTAGCTTGGCAGGGGAGAGTGTTACGTAAACAGAGTTTTAGTATTAAATAAAAAGCAGCATGATGAAGAAAGGTGCAAGCTTTGATGGGAGTACCGAGCATGTGTGCCTAACCCGAGGCAGGGCGGGAGCTCATCCTGGGCTCATTGGAGGAAGCGGCATCTTAGCTGAGTGCCAGAGGGAGGAGTAGCATTTCGTCAGGGAAGGAGGGAAAGAAGGCAGAGGGGACAGCATGGACACAGGAGCAGAGGAGAGCAACAGCGGGCGAGGGTTGGGCATATTCCTGTAGTTAGGTGTGACTGGAGAAGAAAGTAAAAAAAACCAAGTAGCCAGAATGGACTCTCAAGAAGTAAATAGGGGTGTAGTATTGGAAGGCCACTGGTGCCATATGTACTTTATCCTGTAAGCCAAGGGAGCCACTGAGGGCTTCACCTCTACAATGGGAGGTTGGACTAAATATTCCTGAAGTCTTGTCATGCTCTGACATGCTGTGACAGTAATACTTTCCCAAGGTTATATGTGGCTTATTTTTGACAGAACCCAGGTCCAAATGCCTGGGGAACACTGCTTACCAAGGGCTCAAGAGCAAATCCAGAGGGCATTTCCTTAATAATCCCATTGCTAAGGAATACATCATAGGACAGGGTAACATCTACAGACATGGACCTGCCACTGAGAAGGACACAGAGATGCACAGGGGTGAGACAGTGTGAATTACAGGGAGAACACCATATGAATGTGAAGACAGCTGTAGGACAGAGGCCTGGGACACAGCCTGCCCTCATAGTCCTCAGAAGGAACCAGCCCTGCTGACACCTTGATCTTGGACTTTTGCCTCTGGAACTGTAAGGCAATAAATCTCTCTTGTTTAAGCCACGCTGTCTGTGGTACTTGTTATGGCTGCCCTAGCAAACTAATAATCAAAAAATTAATTAAATGAATTCATGTGAATACTCAGTGCAGCGTCCTTCCCCCATCAACCTGGGAGGTGTTTTGTATCATGTTGCTATTTCAACATCTCCAAAAAACAACAGCTGTGCTTAGCAAAAATCTGAGAAGTGTTTATTGCCACTCGGCATGAGAAATGGACGGAAATGATTTGGGACCGTGGTCAGTATTCCTTTCTGACCACTGGCCTCTTGGTTTTGGTTTTTCACATCTGTAAAATCTAAAATAACAAACTTCTGGGGAAATTTTAAAAGATTAATCAAAGTAATGAAACATTTTGTAAGGACATATTCAACATAGAGAAGTTATAAGTAATGTGCTTCAGAGGTAATAATTAAGCAATTTTGCATTGTAATACTGGGAAAAGTTGAAGTTTTACTAGTTATTCTTCACTGCTATTACTGTTA